TAAGCCAAATTTTCAGTTTTGACAAAATTTAAGAAAAATCATACCATACTTGAGGTAACCCCGCTTTTTGCATCATTTTTATTTTCTTTGGAAGCTCCAAGATCTTTGATTTAAGGATATCTTTTGGCATTAACTTAATATTTATATATATATATACATATATTTAAATAGTCGTCATTGTGGTTCAAACTATTGTCCAAGGTATTTTGCAAATGATTTGCCACCGTTACGTTCCCTCAACTTGAAAACTAAATCCCATAATGTGTCTTTAATCGTTTATTATATCCATTCCTATTCTACTGAGAACTGTGATATTAAATAGCTATATAGTCCGTGGGATAGACAACCGATTAAACTTCGTGAATAGTTTCATCTTATTGTAACTTAAAATTTTTTATCCACGAAAATTATCATAAATGGGGCTTTTTCTCATTAAATTATTTGATCTAATTAGGTACTAAAAACTCATAAACACCCATTTGCTTTCTACATGAATCGTAAGATAGTTTGAGCTTCCTAGTTAGTAGGACGATCCGGACAAGAATCAAATTAGAAACGCGATTTTCGCATACCGCACTCACTTCCTGGTGTAATTTTAGTAAAAAAAAAAATAGAAAAAGTTTATTCTTAAATGTATTATTATTTCTGTCATTACGTTATTAAAAATAAATAAACGAAAATTTCATGTATATTTTAAGTGAAATCATGTTTAACTATATAGAATTAATATATATAGATATATATTACTGAACACAATTAACTAAATGGCATCATAGCCGTTGTAGAAGAAAAATGAAAATAAATGTGGTAATAAAAATACAGCCTTACTTTATATAGTTAAACAAAACGTTATCCCTTCCCCCTAAAAAATTAATTTCTAAATGTTACTCCAATGAAAAAAATGCTTATTTAGCTGCTACGAGAATTTTGTTTTGCATCTTGGCTGATTAAGATGAAACACGTTCAAGTCTATTTAGAACAATATACAGTGCTCATTACATAATTTGTCCGTTTAAACTGTGGCTGAAAACATAATCTCAAACAGTTGCCCTAACATACATTGGACTAGGAGACACCCGTCATTCCCCGACCACGGCTGCTGTTGAATATGAGTGCAGATCTAATCACCACTTCTTTGACCTCCAGATTGGTATTTTATCGCTGGCTGTCTAACGTACGAGTGGGCGATAATGAAAATACTGCACTGGTACTGGTTGCATAACTAATCCACAATGTTATGATATGGCTAGCTAATCGTTGCTGATCTCGCACAATACAGCAATCAGCGAATGACCCCTACCTTCGTTTATATTTCGTTTAAATTTTGACCCTTAACCAAGAGTTTAAGAATTAGTCAACTGCTAAGAATGCCCTTTTATTTATAAACAAACAGGTGGAGCTATAAAAAAAACAAAAGATTTGAGTAAGGGAAATTAGAAACAAACATATACCTAGTCCTGTTATAAATATTGTTACAAGGAAATATATACAAATTTTAACAGTAAAATTATTTTTTTCAAAAACTTTATTAGAAAATAAAATGTATATCTATAGAGAGTAAAACAAAAAAGAAATTACTCAAAATGTCCCCCATTTGCCTTGACACAGGCATTTAATCCCCGTGGCCAGTCATCAATAGCCGGACACAGCACTTATTGAGGAAAGCGCTCAACTGCATGCCATCCCCTCTGGAATGTTCTTTTGCAGACACAGCTGATTTGACCTGGCCTCGTGAGCTGGAAAACCCAATGGCTTCCAGCAAACAGAGTACCACTTAGAGGCTTGACAACAGGTTCCAAAATATCGTCCTGATATTTTTTAGCGGCTGTTTTAATTCCTTTTCATAAAAATAGAGCATTGTAGTGCAGTCAAATCAAATTCCCCACCAAAACATCACTGAGGAAGGATGATGACCTCTTTCCACTCTTCCGATGACTTCCTGGGCTTGTTTAGAGCTGTGTGCGTACACAAGATCATTTTGGCGATTAAATTTGTCTTCAATTGTAGTTCAAAAATAATGATTAGGATATGATTTTTGAACAAATTTTTTACAATTAACAATAATAATAATAACTATTTTTCTTCTTTTAAATTTATTTATTACCAGATCGGCCTGGTGGGCCTTACATGGTTGTTGTAACAATTTGATGATATTAATAACTATTGAGTAACATGCAAAAAATGTCGAAAAAAAAAACAAATTAAATTCAAAATTGAAAACGCAGTATCATTTAATGAAAGATATGACATTGAAAAAAAACCTTTAAATACTTCAAAGCAATAAAACTGATTCATCACATTTAAGACCAGTCGTCACTAATGGCCTTAGAAGTTGAAGCGACGTTAAATTAAAAGATGAAAATAAAATAAAAATCAGAAATATATTTTTTGTTCTGTAATCTCTATGATGTATTATAAGTATTGAGTAGTAGGTGGAAAATATTGTTGTCAAATATTAGCAACAGGATATCTTTATTTTCAAAATTCATTATAAATTTTGGCTTTACAGGTGATTTTTGTTTTCTGATCTAAATTTTTTTATCACAATTTTATCACATTATTATTTATATAAAATCGTATCACTCAATGAATCATCATTATTTTTAATCAAATAAATAAATATCGAAGATTGATTTAAATTTTTATTAATAAATCAGACATGATTTTTAAATTAAAAATCAAATATGTTAATTATTAAATGATTTTGTTGAAAAATAATTATCGGTTTCAAACCCTGAAATAAACGACATTAACTTAAAAGTAATATTTATACAATTCTTGATTTATTAATTTTTTATATATAATATATAAACAAAAAAACTGTTATTTACAAAGCCATGGTTTTATAATTACTTATATATTATATATATATATATATATATATATATATATATATATATATATATATATATAATATCTATTAGTCCGTGTTACAGACCCTGTTTTGTCAAATTATTAACATTCCGCGGAAAATTCGTGAATAGCTTCATCTAATCGTAACCTACGACTATTTTATTTACGAAAACTCTTGGAATTGGGGCGTTTTCAATCTTGAGATCGGTAAACTTTGTCTATTTAATTAAATACTAAAAGCTCGTAAATACCCAATTGCTTTCTACTAAATTTAAAAATTATTGATTTTCAATTATTTTTTCATGTAAAGTGGTTATAAAAGTTTTTTTTTTGTCTCCCAAATTCTGTTATAGAAATTAATGCGTATTTGTAAGTGACAAACTTAATGTTTCTAGCCCTAATATTTACGTTTTTATGAAAATAATTGAAGCAATCAGTAGGTTTCTTTATTTCAAACATAAATTTTAGTAAGAAACATTAAGTTTGTCACGTATAAATACTAAACAATTCCTATGTCGAAGATTTGGGAGAAAAACACAATTTCATAATCACTTTACGTAAAAAATATTTGAAAAACCATGCATTTTTAAGTTTTTTATTTTTATAAATAAATGTGTTTTTAGTTAATTATTTTTATTAAATTACATCCCATATTACGGAAAAACAAGAAATAAAAGCTTTGCAACAGTTAATTTTAGTCATTTTTACTGAAAACATGCGAACTTTATTGTTACTGAATAGAAAATCACATCATTTCTTTACACAACTTAAAGTGAATCCCAAAATTACAGTTTGCCGAATCATAGACCTTAGTTTTACAAATCAGTTATTTTGAAAAACACCAATAATCATTACGCCTTCACTAATGAACAAACAGGATCCTGAAGACTGAAACGTTTAAAGAACTCCACGAAAACAGTGAATAATAATTTCAAATAAAAGTTTTTACCTTTTTTTTATTGATATTACTAGCTTTAATCTTAGAATAATAAAAAAATATGTTATATGTTAGTGGGTAAGTATAACGTGATTATCATGTCTCTTAGTTTCGCCGTATCATCATGAGCTGCGTTGTCCGGATGGTCTGCTCTGTGCGTAATTTAACCAGAAATATGAAATTTAGTTCGTGGTGTTAAGTACGTTTCTGTTATCATTGTGATATCAATAGGATTTTCATAATTATAAGTCCAATTCGGTCCTATGTATTCCAAAGACAAGCAGCCTACGTGAGACTTTTGTCTAAACGCCACAATATTTGAAAGGGAATGGACGCCACCATATTTCTGCGAAGCTCTGCGCCGGAACCGATCTTTTCACACAACGAGACACTAAGGGACAAGTTGATGAGGGAAACTGAGCTCTACGTTTTGACGGAGAACGAATTCTCCTAGCTCATTATTAAAGAAAATTATCCCCATTTCAAGGAATTTATATATGGATGGAGGAATATTATTATACCAGATAGAAGAAACTATACCAGAAAGGCCGCCGAATTGAGGAGTGAAAGGATAGAGGAGGAGCAGAATAGGAAAATGGCTAGATTCCAGGAGTAAAACGCATAGTACAAGATTTAATTGTGAATAGTTTACTTGCAGCAGTGGCAAGGGAGAGTGGAAAATAAAATAAATAAAAAATAACATTTCTTACTTATATTTTTACCTATTATATTACAATAGGAGCAGAAACTTTCCAGTAAATGTTTAAACAATATTATTTAATGCTTGTTCCTCTTGATTAAATTTTTATCAAGCATAAGCATCCAAACCTACTCATCCATTAGGATCAGCTGAATAGTATTCAAATTCAGCTCGTTAAGATAATCGTTCCAATCTTCTTACATTTTCGGACGCCTTATTAGCATTCAGTTTTGGCCGCTCGTTTTTGATATATGGCAGAATCGAATTTCTTGACAATTGAATCGATCTTTGTGATGGCGTCTCGGTGAAACAATAATTTCTACCTAATTATCACCCTATTAAATGGAAGTCTATAATTTTTTGCTCTAAGCTTACAATATCAATTCATCATTCCTTCATCTGTTCGCCTTCTAATTTTTCTGTTTCTTTTATTTTTATTTTTCTGGTAGATGTCCTCATTAGCAATTTAAAACTGACCCTTTGTGTAACGAATCCTCTTGTTGTGTGCAGATGAAGCCTACATGAAGCTCTCCTTGGAGACTATCGAAGAGCTCGACTGGTGCCTGGACCAGCTCGAGACAATCCAGACCCACAGGAGTGTCTCCGACATGGCATCGCTCAAGGTAACATATTTAGCATGTTATTATTTCAACTTTTTATATTTTAATTTTAAAACTATTGTTTCTAAGTTATTATTATTGGTTTATTTTATACCACCGTTTTTCTTTTCTATTAAAAAGTTAATTTTTTGGTGCAGAGAAGTGGTGTAGTTGTTTTTATTTTCTTTATAAAATCAGTATGGTTATGCTTTTCTAAAAAAAAAAAAATAAGTATTTCTTAATACTTATCAAAAACAATAATATGATACTGAAATTAGTTCAATTCAATTTTTTTTATTTTCTTATTTTAATAGTCATCGTCAAAATTTGCGACTACTTGATCATTTTTAAATAAACCTCAGGTTTGTTCATTATTCGACGTGAAAGGACGGAAAAAATATTGTTCTACGCATTTTCAAAACATTTAATGTTACTAATAAAATACTTTTTTTTTTTTCTATCTCCAACCTGTTCGTAAAACTCAGCCAGTTGTCATTTATATTGTATTATTATAATCTCATGGTATGAATAAGAGATTCGAAGGAGTTTTATAATATCGTAGGCCAAGGCATCATTCGAATCGTGAGTCATTTTTCACGCTGAACCGCTGCGTGAAATTACACAGCGAATATGGAGGCACTCGTTTACAGAATGGTTGTAACTTGAGTGAAACTAAAAGCTACGTCAGATCACCAATATTCTGTTATAGTGTGTTCACATTTGTTTCTTTTCAAGTGAAAAAAGGCGTATGTTCCTAGTCTTTTTTATTTTTCCTTTTGAAAAAACATTTCTGATTAATTAACTCATCAATGGTTTCTACTCAGGAACATTGTATTATAATGTTTCTCCCCAATGTCCAATTTGTCCTTATTTCTTTATGAGTATAGCAAGCTTGTACCAAGGTCATTTTACAATATCAAGACAGTTTTATACAACCGCTGACACTTGGGAAATATTAGGGGGGGCGAAGGTTTATAAAACATGAGAACGGTGTTCAATACATTAGAGGGTGGGAGGGGATCGAAGGTCAATATTATTATTTTTACGCCATATATTATTAGTTCAATAACTATAATTATATGATTATTAACAAAACTTTTATTAACTTTTAATAAATGACAGTGAAATATTGAAGTGGCTGGCCCCCATCATCAAATATTGCTGAAAATGCTTTGTCCCTCTCTTACGTTGCCCCGGCTCAGTACACAACCATGAATGTAATATACTCACGTCCACAATCATAACGCGAATTGAACCTAAATAATTCTTTTGAAAATCAATTTTCAATTAAATTTTGAAAGATTATCACTATATAATTTTAAAATAAGAAATTAGTGTTAATTTTTCACGTCTAGGCATAAATTTCTAACAAAAAAAATTATTATGTAATTTCTTCATCTTTTGTGTGGTTTTTGTTCAGATAAAATATGTGTTTTTATCTGAAAAAAATAATTTATTAAACATAAATTTGTACCAATCAGACTTCGAAGCACCAAGAGTGACTAGTGGTTGGCATTGTTGTTTTTAATTTTCTCCAAAATTAATAAGCAAAGAAAAAAAGTTATAATATTATTCTTCACAAATAGTTAGTCCCGTGAAATATAAAATTTATAATAATATTCATACTACAGTAAATTGTAAAAAAAAAAAACTCCGTTTCTCAAAATTATAGTGAATGCAGTTAGAACCTTTTCAAACCAAGGCCACCTACTGTATTCAATGAACTATCTACCAAAGTTGCTGACCCATACACCTCTCATTAGAAGTTATGTTTGTTTGTTTATGTGATGATCACTTAGGACCAGACAACACACAAATTAGTTTACACAGCTGTTCCCAAGATACTAGCACTCATAATATCGCAACTGCGCTACTATCCTACTATAGCTAATATAGCTAGCTCATTATCAGTGCCTCTTGTATCTTTCTCTTTATTACGTATTCCTAGATTATTCTGACTGACGTAATACCGCTTTCGTTGAATAAAATGTTTGACTGAGTGGACGGTGTCTAGCTGTGGCAGATATAAAAAAGAAGGTATTTTATCTTATCGTTCTTATTTTGAAATTTAAACAGTAAACAACAAATTAGTTTGATGAATATTATACTCGAAAATAACTATTTGTGGGGAACTTGATCATTTGTAGCACTTCAATAAAAAATAATAATCAAAAAGTATTGTTCAAATTCACTTCAATTTTTTATTATGACGTGTAAATACAAATAATAATAATAATAATCGATAAAACATAAAATTTAGTTCAAAGTCAGAATAGAGAAAAAAAATTAAGGAAAAAGAAAACCGTGGATAATGATGTTGATATAACCGAAAAGCATAATCCATCGGTTCAAGTTTAAATCGAAACTCAAAATATTACCTTTCCATTTACGTATATTGGATTGTAAATACTATATTTATTTTCATTCATTTTAAATTATCTGTTTGTTTTCTTATACGTTTCTTATAGATCGTGTACATCTAGCTATCATACTTATTGCCTTTAATATGTTAGTAAACAGCAGAAGGTTTAATTGTAAAAAAATCGTTTTAATTAAAATTACCATTTTATAGATACGTTCATTATTCAAACAATCGCTTCATCAAGGTCGTTCGTTCCTGTAACTCAGTTCTTGATTGTTTACCGTCTCCTTTTTGATGAAATATATAGCTCAATAATTTTATTTTCAAAATATTATCATCATATATCATTTATATTTTTATTATTAACAAAAAAGGAAAATTATAAGGAACAATAATAACCAGCAACATATATCCGATATAAGCAATAAAAAATCTGATACGGTGCACACCGCTCACAACTTTCACTTCCCATTCTACTTTTAGTAGAAATAGGTATTTTCATTTATAGTGAAAGTAAAAATTATACACCATATAACATATTCACTTAAAACGATTTATCACCATGTTTTTTTCACCAATTTATTCTGCTGTATTTTATTTTATTATTTTGTTTTTTTTGTAACTTTTCATTTCTTTTTAAAACTGTATATTTATTTAATTAAAAAGTTAAAGAACCGCTGGTCCATAACCGAGATGGTAACTTAAGAAAGAATAAACCCTCCAATTCACAGCACTTACTGCAGTTGTTGAAGAATATTAAGCGCTAATAATGGCCTAGAGCTGGCGAATTTAATTTATTTTAAGCGGGAATCCCTCGTCATAGTTTTATAGATCGAAAAAATTGCTTTTTATTTTTTATTATTATTATTTCTGTACTATTGCAACCCATGTAGGGTTTTGGGTTCAGTACTGTTTCTTAGTCAACGGTTGTCCAAGAAGGGTGATTTGAACTAAATTGACATTTAACCTGCTTTATTTCTGGGTATTCCCCAGGAAAGTCTTCAGAAGATCGATCCATGGTCGATAATACCGAATAAATAATTTATCGTCCATCAGCCGGATTTGAACCCAGGACATTCAGTCTTGGAAGGCAATGTTTAACGCACTGAGTTATCACGCACCCTCGAATAAATCGCTGAAGATTAGAAATCCGACAGATACCGCCCAAGGAAGACGTATGTCACGTTTTTGACAAAAAACACACATCCCTGCACATTATTATAATTCTTTCATTCTGAAGGCTGTCAGATTTTATTCAATATTTTGAAAATTGGGTAAGGGATGTCGAAAAATGGGGGCGATAACTGGCGCATACGGATATTTTTACATTTTTTCACTCTACTAAAAAACCTGTACCACTACAACCCATGAAGGATCTGGGGTTCAGTACTATTTAGGGAAAGCACTGTTTCTAGGTTAACGGTTGTGCAAGGAGGTGATTTGACCGAGATCACGCTCAACCGCCAGGTTTTCCCCCTTAACTAATTCTTTAATTAAGGGTACCCACTTTATAGAGGCTGGGTGTGCCTCAGGAGGGACTTCTGACCCAAGGTCGCCCCACGGCCAATGAAACAGATAAAAAAAAAAAAAAAAAAATACTACTACAAAAAAAATACTACTAAAAAAAAAATATTTTATTTATTGTAAATAGAGTGTGAATGTGTTCTCTGAACACTATTATAAACGTCCTTATTTGTGACAAATTGTAATATTTCTGAATAAATAAGCTTATACTATAAAAAAATAAATAAATGAAAGACAGTGTTTAACATATATATTTTGAAATTAGAGAGCTTTAGTGTCTTAAAAAAAATCGAACTTAGGACACAAATATCCACGCAATTGAAAACTGAACAAACACATTTTAAAGTTTTTTTTAAAGGTGCCGAAAACTGTCGGATTTTACCATAACACATTTTAATTTTCATATTGCCATAATACATCATATTAGAGATTATTAAAATCCAGCTGAAACTTCGTGAATTATCTCAAGATTGACGTGGAAAGCAAATGGGTATTTACGAGTTTTTAGGGCCTCTTAAAATAAACAAATTTTGCCGATTTCCAGATTGAAAACTTCCCTGTTCCGAGAATTGTCGTAAATAAAATAGTTGTAGGTTACGATGAGATGAAGCTATTTACGAAGTTTCAGGTGGATGTTAATAATTTAATCTGTACCACTGACTAATACTGCACATAGCATATTAACTACGTGTTAAATTCTGTGGTTTTCTTAATTCTTATTCGCAACTGATTTGACCTTATTTGTCGTTTAGCTAATCATGATATTCGTTAAACATTATTTTGAGTCCTCTTTTGATACTTAGTTACAGTTTGAAACAGTTAATTGTTTAAATAAACCAAATTAATATTTTATTTTAAACGAGAAATTGTAACAAATCTTCATTTGAACCCTATTTAGTGATGAACCTACTTGGGAAATACTTTCAACATCAAAATTAATATGATATTCTGTATTTTTATTTATTTTTGTTTTGGTTTTTAAATGAAATCATGTTTAATTTTAAGGACTCAGAGATAGATTAGGAAGTAATCGATACTTATCAGCTGATATGTTTCACCTTATATTTGACTGTGTCTTGAAATATTATAACGAAAAATCAATTAGAATACTATTTCGCTAACAAGCTTTTCCCAGACCTGAGCCACACTTCCTGAAAATTTAAATTCAGTGAGGATATATATATGTTTTGAGTTTATCATGTAGTTTGTTTTGAATGTAGCCTATTTTCTTTGAAGTGGATGTATTTAAGATTGTTATTAATTATACTATACAGGAACGATTCCAAACGTTGTTCTTGACACATCAGTTAAAATAGGTGTAATGTAAAGTTTTGTTTGTATAATTATGAATAAATAATTTGTATGAGATACATTTTTTAATTATGCTATTGTTTGTTTGATTGTATCTTGTAATCAAGTAAATGAGCTCCCATCCACAAACATTAAGCTAGAAAAAAGTATTAATTTTTTTTAATAAATATTACAACATTAAATTCATTGTCCTTTGAGAGATATTTCATAATTTTCTAGTTATTTCTAAAAATCTTTTCGGCATTTAAATAATTAATTATTTTACATTTCACTATTATCACTCTAGAAGACTAACTTCCATTCTTGGAGACTACTCGTGAGGTATCATACCATCAAATTGACAAATAGAATCCGATTCCAGAACTGTTTTTCGGATGGCCAACCTATAAGGTCATGCGGTCGACGGAAATAGCAAGGGCCTTGTGTAGATATTATTGGTATTTATTTTCAGCATCTACCGAAGATTTAATAGTTTATCGGACAAACAATTCTATTTACTCGATGGGACTAAAGATCCCTTGTGGGCAGTTCTTCAATAACTGCTCTCCTTTCTTTGAGTCCCACTTTCTTCGAGTTATTACAAAAACAAACAATCTGGATAACTGGAAGATCACAGTTGCATATCTTTGAATATAATTAGTCGTTAAAGAAAAAAAAAATGTATTTCTTAAAACCTATATGGTTTCAATACAAAAATTAGAATATGAAAAAATTAAAAATAAGTCACTTAAATTCTGATTAGAAATGTAATTTTGATTTTTTCAAAATTTTATAGCAAATTTTAAAGATTTTTACAAATTTTCGACAATTTATTCGCCTAACGTTTCGGGCATTTTTTTTAGGCATCCAAAGCTTTTTTAATATCTTAATTATTTTTTATTATAAATTATCTAATATTAATAATACGATGTTATGTATACCTTATTGTTTATTAATTTTATTTCCTTATTGTTTTAAGCGTTTAATTGCTTGGAAAACAACTTTTTTTAAAACTATTAAAAAATCCAAATATTTAAAAAAATTAAACTGAAAAAAATATCATATAAAAATATAAAATTAAAGGATATAAAATAAAAATAAATAAAATATTTTTTTAAAAAATAGGGTATGACCCCCTGTCCCTATTTTAGAAACTATACAACTGTTCATGTAATTTTACTATTCGTTGCTTAAATTGCATAATTTAATCTGTAATTTACATATATTCTGTCGATTTGTTATCAATATAAAATAAACGTAACAAAACCTCAGCTCGAACAAATTTTGAATTTCTTTAAAATTCTATAGTATACATTTTGTATTATTTTATAATAATAATTATTCTTATTGCCAATTTGTAATCATTGTATGTATATATATATATATATATATATATATATATATATATATATATATATATATATATATATATTACTTGTTTAGCTTCATATAAGCCTAATATCAATTTTAGCCTTTTATTTCTAATATTTTCATTGTAAGCTATATTGCACTTCCTTTTTTATTTCATAATAATTATAATTATATCATAATATAATATAAATAATATTATATATGATATAACAATTAATATATTGAATTCTAGAGGAAATGTCTAGATCGAAAAATAACTGTTGTTACCCGTTTAAAATTAAACAACCACCTCCAGCCATTTTCCTGCGAGATCTTGCAATAATATACTAAACTGATTTTTGGTTTATTATTTTTAATAATCAACCATTGTGATCGACCAAAAAATTCAAAAACTTAAACCCCTCTCAAAATTTGAGGTTTCACGTTTCAGGATGCGTAGAATTCGAAAAACAAATAAAAAATTTGTTTTCTTCCGTCCGCGCATTTTCTCCGAAACTACAGGACCGATTTTTTTCAAATTTGGATATAAAATCAGAGGTCACTCGAGGATGATCCTCCTTCATCGACATTACTATCCGCATTTTTATACGTAAAATAAAATACGGTCACTAAAAACTTATAGTAGAAAGACAACACTAAAATAAATTATGCGAAACTCATTTTATTAATCAAAATGTACTCTATTACTCTCAAGACATTTCTGTCAACGTTTTCGTAACTTTTCCATTTCTTCTTAATAAAAGTATTAACTCGTCATTATTACCTGAGAAGGATTCTCTGACGAATTGTGATCAGTAAAGGGTTTACCTTTTTAAAAGTGGCTCAAATATTTTTAAAAAATGATAATCGGTAAGCCAAAGGATTGTCGATTAGCTCACCGAGAGTTTCTCTGCTAGTTCTCGAACAGTTGTTTTGGAATTTTATTCGACCACCTTTGACTTTAAGTCTGAAGACATTTTTTAAACCGACGTTGAACTTACTCACATTACCAAGACCTCACACTCATTAATATTTCTAGCCGTTTGGGCTTTGTTCCGACCGAGTTTAAACTCATAATTAAATGAAATTTGGAAAAATCATGCATTGACATCTTAGTAAAATTTTTTTTTGTATCGGAGAGGATTAATAAGTGTAGACAATAATCTCAGACAGAATAATCTCACAAACGTAAAAAAAATATTATATAAAGGGTTAATATAAATAAAACATCAAATCCTGCATTATTATCCGGACCACCCAATATCTATGATAAGGTTAGATCATACAGGTTTTGAGAGGCAAAACACTACCTCATGTAATGGTCAAAATGTTATTTAATGACTACAGGATCAACTAATTTAGACTTATGGCAAGGAAATAGTTGCACACCTGGTATAAAAATTAGATGTATAAATGTAGAGAAAGTTTAATTTAATAAGAGAAACTGGGATCTAGCAGGGTCTCTTCGAACGAGTTATTCTCGAATGGCAAGTGGAAATGCTCAAGCAGTTATTCCTTCAATTAGGATCGATCCCCTTCGAATGTGCTGAACTCTCTAACAACTTTGCCGCTCTCGAGCACCCTCCCTTCCGTCCTTAAGCAATCAACGAAATCGGGTTGCCAAGGGAAGTCTGGCAAAATTTCTATCAAGTCGTAAATAACTCGGTGGGCCTAGACAGCAATTGATTGACCGTCGGGTAAGTTGTCTATCGCAACGAGAGCTTTGGCAACCTTTCTAGCATATTGTCATTACGTCAGCGGTTGATGGATCTACATCAAAAAGCATGTAACCCCTCTTCCGATTTCAACACACGATCTAAAACCAAAACAGCAGGATTGGATTTAGTAATACGCTTATGTCTTAGTCTGACGACATTCAATAACATAAAGTTATGCACAAATATTATTTGAAGAATTTTAAGTCCGCAAAAAATTGGAGGTCTGGTCACCTCTTCATAAAATATTGGAGAGGGGAGCAAAGTAATTACCTGTTTTTATTTATTTTATCTATCCCTACTCAAGAAATATCCACATTCATTTGAAACTGACAAGTCATAAATCTTGAACTTTTTAATATTGATAGTTAAATTGTTTCCCTGAATAAAAACAAAAGTTCAGACTGGTCGTCTATGAGTCAAGTGATTTTTTTTACAAAATATAATCACTACTAAATCATAACTGCTCAATATTCTTGTAGAACACCTTTTTTCTCTATTTTGTGATCAAATTATCTTACGATCCAAGTGAAAAGCAAACTGTTATTTATGAGTTTTTAGTACCTAATTAACTAGATAACATTTGCCGAATTCAAGATTGATAACGCCCCAATTCCAAGAGTTTTCGTAAATAAAATAGTTGTAGGTTACGATGAGCTGAAGATATTCACGAAGTTTCAAGCGGATGTTAATAATTTGATAAAAAGGGATCTGTACCACGGACTACTACTAGCGAAATAAATTCACGGTTTGAGGTCCCCTGAGTCCAAATAACCAAGTCCCGAAAAATGGTCTATGTGTGTAAACATCCTTGCTGAAATTGAAAAATCATACATGTATATATAAGCGTACTTATACAAATAAAAATAACCACAATGAAATATAAATATATAGGGAGTCTATAATTTTTACTTTCACTTCTCTTTGTCTGAAAATTTGTGCTATAATAAGGGTGGTAAGTAAAAGTTGTATGATTCACGCACCGCTGCTGATTTTTTGTTATTCGTTCATTCATGGTAGTGCATTACGCATATCTTAAGCGAAAAGAGAGAAATTTCATTTTATTGACCATATGATTTATTTTTAAAGTTTAATTTCTTAATTGCTAAGCGTTACAGTTTAAAGAAAAATTTTGAGGCCGTTTGCAACCGATGACAAGGCTTTGCACAAACCTTATATGGGGATATTTTAAATTCTCATCATACCCAAAAGTCTAACAGAAATCTATTACTCACAGTGAATCCCGAACCGTAACTGTTTTTAACATTAAAAATACCAGAGATTCATTCGCTTTAAAGAAAGGAGGTCTTCCCACAGTGGCCAAGATTTACGGCTACAATTCTTATCTATTTAACTTAAACCGGTAGCAAGCTACCTGTTTCCAAACACGGTCACTCCCCGCGGTGGAGTGGGTATGTCTTCCACAGTTTTCTTCCACTTTCCGGTAAGAATTTTAAATGTAATTATTTTCATAATTCAAGTTCTTCTTAATTCCTTAGTTGATAAATTATTTACATAGACATCAAATTATAATTTACATAGATGTAAATTATAGACATCAAGGATCGAATTTGGTTCGGTTTCTGTCTCTCTCTAAATCGTTCCTTATCAATTTCATCAAATTCCAACCAGTATTTTCGCTTAAGCACGCGCAAATGTATTTTGTTTGTGTTCAACTAGCTGGTTGTAGTCTCGATTTCCCATAAAACACCAAAGCAGTTCACTCATATCTGTATACTCCACTTTAAATTAGTTTTGTTCAAACTGGTGGAAATTGTTGGTGTTAATACTGCCGAACAAACAATTGCTTTTGTTTCATTGTTTGAGTTCTGTTTCCTTCATTTTACAAGTGAAAACATACTTATTAATTATATATACATGTTCAGTATGTATATACATATTGTGCTGTGAATATTTGAATAATGAATAGAAAATAGACAACTTGCAAATGTGGAACTCTTTCATAGTTTTGTATTCGCTGATAAACAAAATTCGAGTATATCAAACCCGAGGATGGTAAGGGTTTACCGTATTTCCGAAAACGGCTTATTTCGAAGATTTTATTCTCGAACGATATAAATACATAGCCAATGAATATAATAAATATATAGCCAAAATAAATAGCCAATGAAATTGAGGAAGTTGTATTGTCCTTACTTGGCAGATTTTTTTTTTTTTTTTTTAATTTTTCTATCCTGCTCCTTGCTCAATAAAATAATGTAGAACCTCATTGACCCGTTCTTGTCAATACTCCACCGCATTAGCGGAAACGCCAGTTGAGCAGAAATGTATAAAAGGATACAAATATTCGATACTAATTTATTCATTAATCAGGAATGTGTATGTCATATATATACTATTATTAAATTGATTTATAAAAATTATTCAATCTTTAAATAAAAATTTCTATAATACGTGGTTTAACTAATCTAACCGTAAAATATAATATTCATAATGCCAATTATTCAGTTTATTTTTTAAGTTTAGCCGAACTTAATGTTTTAATAAATTAAAAGGAATTGTTTATTCCTATTAATGATAGGTATTAAAAATATTTAGATACGTAATATTTTCTTTTTTTTTAACTTCACACTACAGGACGATATTTGCTACAGTTTGCACCAATAGCACGACATTGCTTATTCTCTCTCATTAATATACTTTAATTGAGCACACTTTTATTATTTCTATTGTGATTGTATCCTGCACTGCATTACCCTCCAGAAAGTCTGTAATGTTAGTCTTAACTTCGGTATTCTTTAAAGATTTTTTTTTTTACGATTTTTGTGTGTTAATCTTGACTGTCAATTAAGTATTTTTTCTTTATGTTAATGCTGATTATTTTATGTATTTTATAGCCAGACTCTGTTATCATTGTTATCGGTAAGAGTTACCTATTCGCTGACCTTAGAAATCATCAGCCTGTTACGGTTCAGATGTTAGTCGCTCCTTCGGGCAAAGCAAGATCATTCAGCTGTTATTGATGGTTGCTAGGCACCTTGGGGTCGGGAAGGATAATTCTCATCCATATATCTATCATAGCAAATCCATCATACTATCATAAAATATCATTACAGGACGGTCTTGATAATCCCAACGCGTAGATTGCATGCTCTGTACGGATTATCAAAGGTTAAATTTAAAATAATGAAAAAAATGCACAAGGTAACGAAAATATGTATGTATATATATATAATCAGTTAAGTTACAAGTTACATTACAATATTCGGAATATAATTTCCTGACAACTTCAATATTTAAAATAAAATATACTGGAAATTTAATTTTTAAAAATACGATGTATCAATTTAGTAAAGCTATTTTTTTTTCTCATCCCCCTTTGATTTGATCGTTTCACAACCCCGTTGTGCTTGTTGCCAATTTACAACAATAATTTTCTTTTCTATTGAAACACAATATTGTATCCATAAAATCTCGATTTCTTAACTTAAAATGAATTGATTTAAATTATTATTAACTCTTTATGGCGTAGTATTGCTTTCCTTCATCTCGGTTGTTTGGGCATAACTGTTTCATACTTTTTTCGTGTTAAAGTTGAAGGTTCAGTATTTGAATAGTCCGTGGTAGAGACCTATTTTTATCAAAATATTAACGTTCGCCTAAAACTTCATAAATAACTTAATCTCTATTTGATTAGGTACTTGAATACTCATTTGCTTTCCACTTGAATCATAAGATAATATGATCGCAAAATCTAAATAAATCGTGGCCTACACAAATATTAGGCCGTTTGGCCTATATAACCTCATTATTTTGGCATTTTGGAGATGGACGTCACTTCAAACGGACCAATATTTTTGTATACCACCTTTTTTTTCGAGTTTTAGGCGGATGTTAATAATTTTCAAAAAGGCTCTGTACTACGGACTATATAATTAAATATTGCAAAAAAACTAAATAACCATAAAATAGAAATTTAAATAAATAAACACCTGCACACCACTACAATCCATGAGTCTTGGGTCCAGTACCGTACAAGGAAGTACTGTTTCTTATTCAACGGTTGTGCAAGGAGAGATTTGACCGAGATCACGCTCATCCGCCCAATTGATTTTATTAAGTATCTATATCTGCAATATGCATCATTAATATCTCTACAATGTTTTCAGTAATTATTTAACTTGTTATTGAAAAGAATATTTTTTATTTGCAGTTCAAGAGGATGTTGAACAAAGAGCTGAGTCACTTTTCAGAATCCAGCAAATCAGGCAACCAGATCTCAGAGTACATTTGCTCCACCTTTTTAGGTAAGTCACATCTTGATATTTTCTCAAAATATTTCTTAAACTTCTTGATATTTTTCTTTAGAAAATTCTTACTGTTATGCCATGTAGCTGTAATTTATAGTTCAATGAATGTTAAGCATGAAATTATACCATTTCTATTATTACTAATCTTCTTTTACAACATATTTAAATCGGTTATATCAGAAACAACCTGTGTGATATTTTGAGAATGTTTTGAAAAATCTCTCGAAAACTATATTATACCAAAATTTATAAGATAAAAATCTATAAAAAAAATAGATATCATAAAAAAACAAATTTTACATTATTTATGTTGGTTTTAGCAGTGAACACATCATTAGATAATCCGAAATATTTTTTTAAATGCTACTGTGGTGTTGTTTCTATAAAAAAACATATTTCTGTCTTTTTTCTTTAATTATGACTGCATGAGCAATGATTTAAAACTAGAGTATAACTTCGGAAATAAAGAACCTTTATTTTATTTAATTAAAAAGCGACAAAATTATTTAACTAATCAATTTGGTAAAAAAAAAAAAAAAAAAGAACAGAGTAGGAAATATTTTTAAGCAATTCGTTTTTTCGACTCTTCCTACCCTCCATAAAGGTTAAACCT